TCCCGGGGGCTGCGGAGGGGCCGGCGCGAGCCGGGGGGCTGCGCTGTGCTGCTCTGCTCTGCTCTGCCCTGCCCTGCCCTGCCCTGCCGGGGCCGGGCGAGGCGCCAGGGGCGAAAGGGAGCCGCGCTCGCTCCCGCCTCCCTGTGCCGCCTCAGCCCGTGGCAACACCCGCCTGGCTCCGGCTCGGGCGCTTGGCGGGTTTGTAGAGCAGCAGCTCTCAGCCAGGACGTCCTGGGCACCTTGGGGTGCCTGGAGATGCTTCAAGGGTGGCGCGGCTAAGTGCGCAAGTGGGCTTCGCGAGAGCAACCCGGAGTTTCCACGAGGCATCCGCAGGGTCAACAATAGTCTGACCTGTTGTGGCCTCTCTGAGGTTTTTGCCACGGTAAAATGGCTCCATTCTTTTCCTGTAGTCTAAACATGAGGGAAAAGGAAGAGCTGGCACTTTTCTAGGGGTGCCTCGCGTCTGTTAAATCTATCGGCAGGCATAGGAGGGGTACGGGCACCCCCTGAGATTGGCCCTCACAGGCCTGGGAGTGGGGAGTGTAGGCCAGTGCCACCTGAGTAGCTTTTATGGATTCATAGATTGTTAGGGGCTGGAAGGGACCTCGGAGGATCACCTGGTCCAGCCCCGTGCACCAAGCAGGAAAGATAACTGGGGGTCAGGTGACCCCAGCAAGGTGATTGTCTAGTCTCCCCTTGAAGATTTCCAGAGTAGGTGATGGCACCACCTCTGGAGGGAGCTTATTCCACAGCCCGGACACCCTGGCTGTGAAGAAGTTTTTCCTAATGTTGAGCCTGAAACAGTCTTCCAGGAGTTTGTGGCCATTGCTCCTGGTTTTCCCCTCAGGTGCCCTGATGAACAGTTGCTCACCAAGCCCTTGATGTATTCCCCTAGCGTAGCGGTAAACTGCTACGAGGTCCCCTCTCAGCCTTCTTTTCTTCAGGCTAAAGAGTCCCAGATCCCTCAGCCTTTCCTCATATGGCTTGCCTGTTAAGACTCCGATCATACAGGTGGCTCTTCTTCGGACTCTCAAGCTTGTCCACGTCCTTATTAACATATGGCGCCCAGAGCTGGACGCAGTACTTCAGCTGCAGTCTCACCAGTGCTGAGTAGAACAGAAGAATCACCTCCTTGGTCTTGCTGGAGATGCACTGATCGATGCGTGCCAGAGTATTATTTGCCCTGCTGGCTACAGCATTGCGCTGCCAGCTCGTATTCATACTGTGGTCAATTATTACCCCCAGGTCCCTTTCATTTGGGGTGCTAGTCAGTTTGGTGCCGCCACGTCTGTATGTGTGTTGAGGGGTTGCTCGTCCCGAGGTGGAGCACTTTACATTTCTCGACATCGAACTTCATTAGATTCTGATCCGCCCAACTTGATCGCCTGTCTAGGTCTGCCTGTATCTGTAGCCTACCTTCAAGCGTGACCACACTTCCCCATAACTTGAGTCATCCGCGAACTTGGCAAATGAGCTCTTCACCCCCACATCCAAATCATTAATAAAGATGCTCAAAAGTACTGAACTGAGCAATCACCCCTATGGGATACCACTGCCCACTTCTCACCACTGCTGTGCACTTCACCGCTGCCAAACTTTGTCAACAATCAGCCGAAGGGGGACCCCTACTGGTGTTCGGCCGCTCAGGGACCACCCCTCCCCGGTCGGCAATCTGCCACTGATGCCCACCCAGAGTCAGGAGGCACCAGTTGCTCATGCTTCGAGTGCTCTGATTGAAGCGTGAGCCTAAATCTGGGATAAATCATGGGCCCAAATCTCCATACCCAGCAGGCAAACCCCGAAGCCAGAGAGCCAGGGCCCCACCATTTTCCCCTTCCTCTGAGACATTCTGAGTGCTCCAACTGAAGCACGGGCCTAAATTTGGGCTTCGGCATGTCCTGCCTCTTTCTACCCCAGAGCCCTGCCACTTGTCCGATTGGTTCTGGGGCCCATTGCAGCTCCCATGTGTCATGGTGAAAAACATTGTCTTGCACACCCCTGTGCAAGGAGGTCTCTAGGCCCACACCCAGGCTTGAGCTTACGAGCTTTTGGCTCTGTACCCAGGAGGTAAACCCCTAAGCCAGAGACCCAAAGCAAATGCAGAAGCTTTGCACAGTCCCTGCCTACACCAGGACCACAGTCACATGCAGACGTTTGCCCAACACCACTGTACACTAAAAATAATAGTAATAATAATAATAATAAAAAATTCAAACCTTTGATGGACAGCCCTGTGCCCTGGAAGAAGAGGCCAGAGGCAGCCACAAATATCCCCCTTTTCCCTGCCTGCATCATGCACAGTTGCAGAAACACAACAAAAGCCTCCGGGGCTGCTGGTTTCTTGGTGCTCAGGCCTCAACTGTCTCGGTGCCCCCAAAATTAAAAAAGAACAAAAAAAGCTATTTTGGCCCCACCATCTTCCCCGTTCTCACAGACACTCCAAGTACTCTGATGGAAGCACAGATCTAAATCTGCACCTTTCCACCCCGGAGCCCTGCCACTTCTCTGATTGTTTCTGGGGCCCATGGCAGCTTCCATGTGTCATGGTGAAAAAGAGCATTTTTTTCTTCTGCTTTGGAGGGACGGGGGCTTTGGAGTGAGAGGGGGACTTCTTTTTGGGCACACTCCCACTGGTGCCAGGCTAAGGAGGAGCAGGGGCAGGGGGGTGAAGCCTGTGGAGATGCATCAGCATCCCCGTGGTGCTTATGTGTTTTTTTTTTCTTGTCCTGGCTGGTTTTGGCTTGGCAGTGCAGGCAGATAGCATATGTGGGATCATCTGCCAGCTCAAAATGATTCATAGATTCACAGATCCTAGGGTCAGAAGGGACCTCAACAGATCATCGAGTCTGACCCCCTGCCTAGGAGACCCCCAAGGTAGGGGAGGGCACCACCTTTCTTGGAAGCCCATTCCAAATTTTGGCCACCCTTACCATGAAGAAGTTTTTTCTGATATCTAGCCTAAATCTGCTCTCTGTCAGATTGTGACCATTGTCCCTTGTTACCCCAAGAGGCGCCCTGGTGAACAGAGCATCCCTGATCCCTTGCTGTGTCCTCCTAATGAATTTGTAGGTGGCCACAAGATCACCTCTCAGCCTTCTCTTGTGGAGGCTGAAGAGGTCCAGGTCCCTCAGTCTCTCCTCATAGGGCTTGTCCTGTAAGCCCCTAACTATACGAGTGGCTCTCCTCTGGACCCCCTCGAGTCTATCAACATCCTTCTTGAAGTATGGTGCCCAAAACTGGATGCAGTACTCCAACTGCGGTCTGACCAATGCTGCTTAGAGGGGAAGTATCACCTCCTTGGTTCTATTTGTCATGCAAAACTGCTGATGCATGATAAAGTACGGTTAGCTGTGCTGATGTTTTTGTCACACTGAAGACTCATGTTCATCATGGAGTCCGCTATGACTCTGAGATCCCTTTCCGTTTCTGTGCTGCTGAGAGGGTCACTTCCTAGCCAGTAGGTGTGCTGGATATTTTTACGCCCTAGGCGCAGCACTCTGCATTTGTCCTTGTACTGCATCCTACTGTGTACTGCCCACTTTTCTAACCTCTCCAGGTCTGCCTGCAGTCGTTCCCTAACCTCTGGAGTGTGCACTTCGCCCCACAATTTTGTATCATCCATAAACTTGGACAGAGTACACTTCACACCCACATCCAAGTCACTGATGAAGATATTGAATAGTACAGGTCCAAGGATCGAACCCTGCGGAACCCCACCATGCACACACTTCCAGGTCAATCCCAACCTATCTACTACCACTCTCCGGGTGCGACCGCTAAGCCAATTTGCCACCCACTGGACCATATAAACATCTGTGTCACAGTCTTTTAATTTATTTATGAGAATGGGATGAGATACTGTATCAAAGGCCTTCCTAAAATCTAGGACAACATCCACCTCTACTCCTGTGTCTAAGAGTTTTGTGACTTGGTCATAAAATGAAACCAGATTAGTCAGGCATGGTCTGCCTGCCACAAATCAATGCTGTTTGCCCTGCTGCACTATTTTTCCTGCTGGACTGCCACAAATATGACCCTTCATAATCTTTTCAAGGACCTTTGAACACTCATGGCGCATGGGCCAGGTCCCGGAGGACTGGAAAAGGGCCAATGTGGTCCCCATTTTCAAGAAGGGGAGGAAGGAGGACCCAGGCAACTATAGGCCAGTCAGTCTCACCTCCATCCTTGGCAAAGTCTTTGAAAAAATTATCAAGGCTCACATTTGCGAGAGCCCGGCAGGACAAATTATGCTGAGGGGAAACCAGCACGGGTGCGTAGCAGGCAGATCATGCCTGACTAATCTAGTCTCTTTTTATGACCAGGTTACAAAACGTCTGGACGCAGGATAAGGGGTTGACATCATATACTTGGACTTCAGGAAGGCCTTCGATACAGTATCCCACCCCATACTGGTGAACAAGTTAAGAGGCTGTGACTTGGATGACTACACAGTCCGGTGGGTGGCGAATTGGATAGAGGGTCATACCCAGAGAGTCGTAGTGGATGGGT